ATTTAGTACCTAATAGTTCACGTTTTCCAAGTATTAAACTAAAACAAAACATATTCCACTAATCGTCACACCGTTGAAAAACATTAATTGCTAATTATTTACGTTTAAGTACCTATATCGATGAAAGTAGGTACTTTTTTTTTTGACAAATTAATTCACCACGTATGCTAGTTAGGTATATAGAAATACGAGGGTGGATTGATAAGTTTCCGGCCTAACCAAGAGATGACGCCACTAGGCCTACCTTGAGGTGACATTCTATAGTACCATCCTTGGATAGCTTGTAGCTATAGTTTCAGCCCGATCTCCTTGCTAGTGTAGGTTTGACAGCACGCTGAACAAGACGCCTCTGTGGTTTTCGTAAAAATGGAAAAGCAGGAAAATCGTGCTGTCATCAAATACTTTTATTTGAAGGGGTTAACGCCGAAGGAAATTAAAAAAGAGATGGACTCAACACTGGGGACATCCTCCCCGTCATATTCAACCGTTAAGCAGTGGGTTTCCGAGTTTAAAAAGGGTCGTGTGAGCACCTCTGATGGGCCTCGCTCAGGACGCCCCGTTGAGGTCACAACTCCAGATATGATCGAAAAAATTCATCAAATAGTGCTGGGAGACCGCAGATTGAAAGTGCGTGAGATAGCTGAGACCTGTAAGATGTCATATGAACGTGTGCAACATATTTTGCACCAACATTTGCATATGGAAAAGCTCTGTGCAAGATGGGTGCCGCGTTTGCTAACAGTCGACCAAAAATTGATTCGAAAAAACATTTCTACCGCAAATTTGTCATTGTATAAGCGTAATCCAAGCGAATTTTTGCGTCGATTCGTAACCGTTGACGAAACGTGGGTCCACCACTACACTCCTGAAACCAAAGAACAGTCTAAACAGTGGATTGGACCAGGGGAACCAACTCCAAAGAAGGCAAAAACAATTTTTTCGGCGAACAAGGTTATGGCTACTGTTTTTTGGGATGCAAGAGGTATTATATACATTGATTACCTTGCAAAGGGTAATACTATCACTGGTCAATACTACGCAGACTTATTGCAACGTTTGAGCCACGAGGTGAAAATTAAACGACCTCATCTGGCGAAGAAAAAAATCTTGTTTCATCACGATAACGCACCAGCGCACACGTCAATCGTTGCGACGGCTAAAATCAACGATCTAAAGTTTGAATTGATGCCGCACCCTCCTTACTCTCCAGACCTAGCCCCGAGTGACTATTTTCTGTTCCCTAATCTCAAAAAATGGCTTGGCGGTAAGAGATTTGCGGACAATGAAGAAGTAATCGAAGCTGTAAATGGTTATTTTGAGGAGCTTGACGAATCAGTCTATAGAGATGGCATTAATAGACTGGAACACCGCTATGAGAAATGTATCAGCCTTGGAGGAGATTATGTTGAGAAATAAAAAAAAAAAATTTTTAAAAACCTTGTTTTTCTTGGTCAGGCCGGAAACTTATCAATCCACCCTCGTATATTCTTGAAATACATTGAATGTCTGTTATACGTATAGGTATACATTTTCACTTTCTAGAAATGCTTTTATATCTAAAAATTAAAATACTGTGCTCAATTCAGTTTTATTGTTTCTTAAAATTACGGAGTTTACATAAATATCCAAGGATAGTTTTTTTAGAGAGGAAAAGTGAATACACCAATTGTATATGAATGCACATCCTACATTATTTTCAATAAGCAATTATTTATATATTATTGGTAAACCTATAATAAAAAATGATATAATGAAAGTTATGTATTAGTTTATGGTTCTCTCAAGTAAATTTGAGTAGTTAGAGATATAGATTAAAAATAAATACTATTTTTCATTGAACTATAGTCCATAATAAATTTTACAGCTCTAAAGTATTTTATCCGACTATAGCATTACAATAAATTTCACTAAAGTAATAATTATTGCAATTATTTTAGTATTTACTGTTTTGCTTTCTCTAGCATTTTGCATTAAGTATTAGTGTTTGTGACATTCCTGGAAATAGATAGGTACGTTGATCTGCGCCCTATCAATAACCCTAGACCTTGTGACAAATTATATCACAGATATAATCCTACTTTAAAACACTCTTAAAGCAAAGATGCAAAAAGTTATTGTGGGGCAAGAAAAACTTTCAACAGGGAAAAAGAAATCACTACAAAATATATCCTCAATGTTATCTATTACAAAAAAAAATGCATGACTATGCTACTGCAATACTTTTATTCCATTTGTTAGTTATTTTTGTGGTACCTAATGTCCATAATGTCAGCATTACCATTGACGACGGCAAGGGATGTAACAATAATCAATTTCTACCGACTCTTTAAGAGAGAATTTAATCTATCTTTCTCCTTGTAGCGACCCAGTAGATAAAACGAAGTCTTACCCATTCATTTCCTTTAGAACGCAACTTCCGCTGCGGGCGTAATTCACTTTGACGGTTGATCACATGGGCTTGGTTCAGATTCGATTCATTTTGTTGCTTTATTCCACTGAATAGGTCAGTTGATCTATAATATTCTGGTCCCGGTTTAGCAGTAGGTAAACCAATGAATCTACCTTGTGTGACTTCATGCCGAACAGTGGCAGAATTAATGGGTGGCTGAGGAAATGTATGTTACCGTTTATACACTCTATCGTTAATTTTATCCAAGATCAAATTTAAGTTATGAAGAAAGTTTATCAAACGAGCAGAGTGGTGGAGAGATTATGATTGATTAGATTTCCTTAAATGTAAATTATAAAGTTTACAGTCAGTCTACACCTTATAAAGATATAATAGCGATCGTACACTTTACTGGTTAAACTACTTTATTAGCATACATGTAAATGTTATGTTGAGCAAGAGCAGAATTATTTTTTAACTTATTAGAATAAATATAATTCATTTAAAATGTAAAATTGAATGATTTATCAATACTGAACAACTGCAACTGTGAGATGCTTTATATTTAAACTTTATAACCTACCATGAAGAAGTTTTAACACTGTAAAGCGAAACGTCAGTCCAATTATATAGGGTCCGGCAAAATGAAGTACCACATTTTGCACCGTCACTCTGCCCGAGTCATTGAAGAAAATGGGAGCATGATGTATTTAATTGGTAGCTCGCGCCTTGTCATTTCGGTTATCATCATCAATTGGACGGGCAAGCATTGCGCCTTAATTGTCGAAACATTTATGAGAAATAATGGATCTGTAATTACAACGGAAAGAATTTTTCGTACTTACCTCGAGCTTGGTAGACATGCTCCTTTCCAAGTCACAAAACTATTTTGTTATGGGTTACAAACTTCAGAAGTACATGTTCAGCCTTAAAAAGAAAATCAATCGATAGGCTCAGAAATGCTTGGATACCAGAAATTATTGCAATCAGTAGAATCAGTCTGGCCGTTCAGCTGCCGAACATGCCTCTGCTTTGCGTTTGCTAGATCGTTCTGTGAGAAGAATTTTACACGCAGACCTTAAGTTCCACCCCTACAAATTGATGATTGTACAAGCTAAGTAAAGGAGACTGGGAAAATCGCAGAACATGTTCCATTTATATTCTTCAAAACATACCTGAAGATGCTCTTTTAGTGCCGTGTGGTGAAGCTCATTTTCACTTGTCAGGCTGTTTACATAAGTAAAATTTTCGCTACTGGGCAGTAGTGAATCCTCGGCAGCTCCATTAAACACATCGTCGCCCAAGTCATATCGTTTGGTGTATTGTTGGATCATTTAGCGAGGGGACGTAACAGTTACCGTAACTGCCGATCGATATATCCACATACTAAATATTTTTGTAGAACCGAAACCTTTGGAACCTCATCATCCGGATGTGTGGTTCCAGCAGGATGAAACAGAGGCTCATACGGCAAGAAGGTCAGTGAACGTTTTAAGGGGAATTTTTTTAGGATACCTAGTCTTGCTATTTGGAGGCGTCGAATGGCCTTCGCGTTCACCCGATCTTGTACCATGCGACTTCTTTTAGGGCTACCTGAAAGCGAAGATCTTTGAACACCAACCTCGAACCATTGACGAATTGAAAGTAACAACATGCCAAGAAATTGTAAGCATATCGCCTCAATTGAATACTCGAATGACTGAAACCTTCAGAAAACAGAATCGAATGGATATCGAAGATAATGGTTAATGGACAGTGTAATTTTCAAAACTTAATAAAAAAGTGACATAGTATATATTACTGTTTTTATTAAAGCTTAGTGTGTGGTAGATCATTTTGCCGAACCCTGTATAAGTAATACATTTTCACCCCTTAAATTGATTGTAATAGTCAAATTTTTATTTAGAAAACACAACATTCACAAATTATGCGGGCTCTGCCTGTTCCTCTTTAGTGTTTGCACAATATAATAATTACGAATTATGGATAACCTCGTATAATATGAAACACCGTGAATTAAAGGTAACTGTAACCGTTGCAACACTATATTAAACTAATCACAGCATTATCATCATAAGGTCTTTAGTCCTAAGACTGGTTGGACACGTACCTCCACTCTTTCATATCCTGAGCTAAACTTCGCATTTCCCTAAAAAATATATATTTGTTAACAGAGTACTTTTGTTAAATTATACATTTCATCCGATAATAGATAGATTGCAAAGTACTATTTTACTTCGAATCTGTTTAGATTTCATAGCGACTACAAGTAGATAAGTAATTAAATTGGTAAAAGTTTTCGCGGCCAGTAGATGAACTGGTGTTGTTCTGATTCGGGTCTAAAGATAGTCGTGTGTTAGAGTTGCTTTCTAACGTTTAGCTAGTACAAGTGGCGCGGTTCTTCAGAGGTCATTCCATCTTGGATGCTGGATACGGACTGACAGCTCGCCACTCGTGCTAGCCACACGACGGGCTTTAAACTCGAATCAGAATAGCATCAGTTCAGGTAGGTATGTTATTATTGTACTGATTTTCATAACCTAATACAACGAAGAAATTATTATTAAGGGATTTAAATTACTAATTTACTAACAGCGGTTTATTGTTTCAGAGCCAACTATCAGTTCTTCACACTACAGCCGTTTTGGTTTCATGTCACGAATATGACGTTGCACGTTGTCGCGTGTGTATTATTTACGCGTGTCAGCTTGTGCGTTGCTGGATTCAAGCCACCCTTCGCTACATTAGCTGGCTTAATGTTCGCCATCCATCCCATACACACTGAGGCGGTAAGCTTATTACTGTCATTAATTTTTTATTACCTTTTCAACTTGCGGCAAATCCTCACTTTCCCACGCAGATACGCGATACGTTGTTCATGTGCATACGTGTTACGATTACATCGATTTTATCGTCGCGTGAAATTGTCATTGCCACATTAATTTAAAAATACAACCCTGAACAACGTGATGTGGTGGCAGTAATGACTGGCGGAAATCGTTACGTTTGACATTTAAATGGGAAATATATGTAAATTGGCTAAATAACGGAAAATGTGCAAATTTTAAATATGTAAAATACAGCAGCAACGTTTAAAATTTGGCTTAATAATATAAGCGATAGAAATATTTATCGGGAAAAGAATATAATTAAATTTAACTAAATTTTGTGATGTCGTTTCATCAGGTAAATTGTGGATTTAAGTACATAATTTAACAGGTATTCAAACTCAAATTGTTTCAGACTAAATTGGTGAAATTCGGAAAAACATTAAAATCAATGATAAAATTTTGCCCTAGCTTACTGTAGGTAACGAATTTTTTACTCATAACCGGAATCGACCAAAGGAGATTGTTAAAACTAGTTGTCCTTAGTGTAAGAGGCAGGGAAACGCTTGCACTTGTAATACGTAAATAAGTAAATAGAAATGAACTGTATCTTTCTTATATAAGTGATTTAGTATACATCAAAATTATTAACGTGATCAACTAACAGGTGTCACGGTGGTCAGGTCCATGTCCATGGCTGGGTCTAGCCTATAAATAAAGAAAACACATTTTATTACTAAATACATCAGTTACTGAAGAATGATACTGAGACGTACAATGGACATAAAGGACAGACTTGCATTATGCCCGCTCCAGTATCACCCTTAGACGTAAAGGGCTGTAACTCGCAATGCGCCGGTATTACTTATTCTCATTACCACTAGTACTAAGATGTGCAATGAGTACAAAGGGCTGAACTCGCAATGTGCTCTCTTCAGATACTAATGTTTGACCTTTTACTTGGCATGACCGATACTGAGGGGTGCAATGGTCACAAAGGGCAAACTCGCAGTGTGACCTCTCCAGCTACCTAATGAGAAAACTATCACAAAGGGCGAACTCTCATTGTGATTTTCTCTAAGTGACTACACCAAAGCCACACCCATATGAATTATCAACATCGAGTAAAAATTTATCAATAATATTATTCATGCAAAATGTTCATTGATCAAGTGATTCAAAAGGTAGACAAATATAAAAGGCAGAACGCTCAGTGAATAAACTCACCCTTTTATAACAAGAACACTGCACACATTCACTGTCTTTAATACACTGCCCTGATTATTATGTTTAAGACACAGAGAACGGGATAGTTAAAACTATATAGTGTATGTATGTATTTACAAGACATTCCTATTGCTACATAGGTAATCTAGGGACGGAGCGAGCCCACGAGAAGTGTTCTACTAGTCTAAACAAATGAGTCCTTGAAATATTTCTGAACATGCTGCCTTTGGTTGGCTTTTACATTAAGGTGTATTTGATATATTATATATTGAAATAATCTGAGTTCTTACATTAGACTGTAGGAGCTATTTTTATTATTATTATGGATGATGATATTTTTCACCTATTATGTATATGTACCAATAGCTTAACAGCTAGTTCCTCCTACCAGTTTTACATAGCAACCAGTGGGTTCCCCTCAAGAGTTACGTCTTGCGAAGTGGCATGCGGCAATGAATGTAAAACAACATGTAAGGAAATAAACAAAACCCTCAATTAGAAGAATACGATGCGATAGACAGTTTAAACAACTTACTCGGGCCGACGCCCCAGTTGGGGCCGCCCTTGCGATATCCCAACGTAGTCGAACTCGGTAATGTAGTTGTGTCCAATGAGGAATCCCTGATGACGATTGTAGACTGCCTGAAACAATAGGTGTTTGCCACACCTATGCCCCAGCTAAATAACCAGGCATTCTATGCATTGGCCGAATGCATAGATCGCTCCCAATGTTTATCTTTACATTGGCAAGCTATGTGTAGAAACTTATCCCTCGACTAGACGCCTCTATGCCGATATCACCGCGCTTTACGGACACTCAAGCCACTGCTGTATACGGCAGGTCAAGTAGTGGACTTCTACTCTCATTAACACGTCACTCACAGGTGCTTTGCCACTCCAGGCATATCTAGCTAGATCTGCAGTGGACTACCTGACGCACAGTATTTACACTTCACCTAAAGGTACATCCGACCCATCGGCCGTTTGCCTTACACTTCTACAGGCCTCATATTTCAATAATAACAACAACAACACTTAAAATACATAATATTAATTGCCCTTACGGCATCTGACTCTCTCACCAGAGTAACCACTGCCCTTACGGCATCTTACTCTCTCACCAGAATATCCACTGCCCTTACGGCATCTTACTCTATCACAGAGTAACCACTGCCCTTCCGGCATTTTACTCTCTCACCAGAGTAACCACCGTCCTTAATGCACTTTACACCTCCTTACACGCCGACTGCCACTTCACCACTGACTTTAACATAAAAGCCCTCTTCCAACAGCCCTCTTTGGTTTCATTCTACATATATGTTATTAATATTTGGTTAACCCAAATAGTAAATAAATACCGAATAAATAACTTTCGTACAAGACAAATAACTTTTTAACAGAAATAACATTTTTACTGTAGCATATCTATAGAGATGAGCAAAATTGATCTTGATCTGGCGAAAATGCAAGACCAATACTAATACTGTCTGTATATCAAGCAAAACCAAGATCAAGACCAAGCCCAAACGAAGAAGACCAATTCTAAAACCAAGATCGAATATGCAAGACCACGACCAAATACGCAAAACTAAACTAAAAATTATTACTTTCCGTAGATTTATAAGTTAAACTATTTGATGCAATTTTAATATATATTCTTTTCTTGGGACAATATCTTTTGTATTCAGTTTGCTTTACTAAATCTTAACAGTAAATACATAAAAAGAATACGATTTCAGCTCTTACAATGAGACTAACTAACATCTAAACCATAAAAGCTGAAAATTTGCGGTTTGGACAGTTTGTTTATGCATGAATTACCGTATACTTTTTGCCATAATTAAAATGTGTACGTTATTCGGAGCTGGAAGTATCGAAACCTACTTTTGATAATCTTACAAGCCGAATAGCTAACTAAAATATTTACACTATGTCTAAGACAGTGTTAGACCCTTCAGATAAGTCTGGATTTTTAAATACTGACTTAAAATGGCTATTTAAAGACGTCGTACAAAATTCAGATTTTATACCTTAACGTGAAAAAAAAAAAAAAAACTTTTGGGTGTTTCATTCCCACCAGCCAGTAATGCTGGTGGGCGGGCAGTCCCCCCGGGCTATGCCGAAAGGTAGGGCGGAAGGCCCTCTTCAGCCTGCTTTCAGGAATCGTGGGAATGGGTGGGTGGTGGTTCGGGTGAGAAAGTTGAGACGGACGAAATGAAGACGGAAGAGAGTGAAAGATTATCTGTGGTGATCCAAGGAAACCACAGAAAAACTTGGATCAAGGCAGACGGACAGAACGGAATCGAACCCGCGTCCTCCCGAATGCTAAGCAATGGTATAGACCTCTAGGCAATGCCGCTCGGTCGTTAACGTGAGAGACAGAAGGATTATATACTGCGGCGCAACTTACCTGATATTTGCGGAAATCCCCATTGGTCAAGGTTGGTAACCCCTAAATATTACTCTGTACACTAGTGAGAACACTAAACTTTTAAACTTAAAAGATTGTCTGTGGAATATTGCTGCCCCAGCATTTGTCTAAGTGATCCAAGGACACCACAGAAAAATTTGAACTAAGGCAGACGAACCCGGAATCGAACCGGCATCTTCCCGAATACTAAGCAATGGTCTAAACTTCTAGGCCTCTAGAACACATAAAAAAAGCAACCTTTATACCTTAACGTAGGTCTGACAGGTGCTATTAGCTTTTAGTCAATCATTACGGCATACCGGTAGGATGTACTGTTAAAGCGCGACAACAGATGAACGACAATAAAAAGAAAGCATTGTTTAGACTAATGCAGTCACCTCATATTATATACCATAAAACTCAACTATAGTAATTCATAATATTTTACAAGACAAGAAAAATGTCTACCTTCCTATAATGTGCCAGCGAGAACGGGTACGTCTGAAATCTCGATGATTTTAACAAACAACCAACTGAGAGAATTGAGTATCTCTAACCAGTTATTTTACATTAAAATTGCTCTCAGTAGGTCATACTGTTGTAACTCTAACGTATTTGGTGGCCTTTAAAATCCGATTTTTATTTCTTAAGGACCTCGAGAATTATTTTTGCAAAATAACTTGATAGGCAGGCTAAAGAAAAATTACATCCGTTTTTTAAAGGCTCTCTTTTTCAACTCAATTTTCCAATTTTACACGAACGTTTAAAAATGGTAAAGGTCAATTCAACTTTCGGTCGAAGACTGAGACGAACGGTAGTGTGAGAGTCTAGGTCTCACTCGCTAGATGGTATACTCACTATAAACCCCTCGCCGTGGCTCGGCTGAAACGCCCACTGCGACATCATCCTCCTGGGGCATTCCTATTTCAGAAATTACCTCAGAGGGAAGAAATCATACTGAATTTTGGGGCTAAAATTTAAAATATGTATATTACGGACAAAACCGTACCTTATAATGGTTATGGCCATGCTGGTTTCGAACTTCAAGTTCTCGCTTATTAAGCGGTTAGCAGAGATAAGTAAAAAGAAACAAAACAATAAAACAAAGAAAGACGCAGTCGATTGGCTCCATAAATGGTTCGAGTAATATTTAAGATAAATGCAGTAAAAATATAAAACCTGAAAATAATTAAAGCTTAACAATTGTTATGCGCTTTAAGTAAACTTAACATAAAAACCCAAAAAACTGTTTACAGTTCAAACACTTATTTAAAAATAAAACATGCACTTTAAGCTATATAGACTGAACATAAATATACCACACTTACGACCAACGTAAGCTCACTAACACAATTCACAAAGAATAAATAAATATATAAATAACATATAACTTCCGAGGCTAGTTCGACGTCACAGTCGTATTTACTACGGAACTCCTCCAAGAGCTCCATAACCTCCCACGACTTATTAGAGTTTAGTTGCAGCGTTAGGATCATATTTTTTATGCTTTCCTCCTGAAGTCTTCTGTTTTTTTTTCTTATCTTGTTTACTAAGCCTCTTCTTTGTCATCTCCTTCTTTTTATACGAGCTAGCCCTAGTAATAAAATTTCACTTCGCGCATTGAAATCCCAGGTCGATTGTTTCCTAGGACCCTCCCTACCTGCTTCACCAAGTCGGCATTTGCTCCTACCTTTCTTTCAACGGCCCTGATCATCAAACCCGCCCTTTGTCGATTTAGTAAACTTTACTACCTCAGCGCCCAACCGGTGGATACCTGTTCCACCTCTAAGGCTTCTAATGTCAGTAGCGTAGCTTGTCTCTTCTTCTACAGCATCCTCGCTAATGAGAATAGTGGCTTACATTACCTGAAGCTCACTATTTCTTTCTTTTATAGTCCTAATCACCTCTCTACTGTGGGGAAACCTCTTGATACAGTACTCTTCAGTTAGTCAGATTCCCGTTCACTACGGAGTAGGGCAATCGTCCGGAGCGCCCTCTTTTACGTTAAATGTCCCAATTTCCCTGTTAAAAGTCTCATCTATTTTCTAACGTTGCAATTCAGCCGCAATAATATCTCTGCCAGCCTGTACGCCTACCAATGTATGTTCTCTAACCGTCTATGCTTCCGTCTGTGACACTTGTACCACCGTGTCCTTATATGACGATGGGGATTCTAATATTAGCCTTCTGAAGCTTACAAACTAGTATCTGGAGATCTCACGCTAAGTCTGTGGATTTGTCCAGGATGCATTTCGGCTTGTTAACCTTCTTCACCATGGTGTTTAAACAGCTTGTCAATTCCCCCAGCCCCGACTGGCCGTTTTGGAGGAGCTTTTGGGGAATAGCCAAACTCACGAAGTCTCTTCTCCCCACCTTCTACTTCTACTCTACACGTGTTCCCGTGGTTTACTCCTTCGGCATTCTGAATCTCCATTTGGCAAAGCTATGGCATCCTCAAAGCCATAAACTAGATCAATAGGTATCTCCATATTATCTAGTGTATCTTAGCCCTCCCCCCCATAAATAGTTCTTTTAGGAGACGTTCTCTGTTTTTTAGCTTCTGCCAAAGCCAAGTTTCTCCCATAAGTTATATTTTACTTCTATGTGAATCCAGCCGCTAATCTGGACAAAACACCTCTTCGCCTGCCCTCTCTCTGTGCGCATCTGCGGGGTGGTGAGTCCTTTGTTCATCGCCGAAGTCATCGTCTTATCAAGTTTATCCTCATGGTGGGTGCGAATGGTGGGGCAGGACCAGGGGCCCCTTCCCCCTCAGCTTAAATATTTGAAATTGAGTTCATTAAATTTCCAGAATAGGACCGGTCCCCACGGAACGAACGATACTTTGGGCAGCACAACCCTGTTTCTTCCTGTGAACCAATACCTTTCCATTTCAACTTCTACTTTTTTCGTCTAAAATATTTACTGGCAGATTTGTATTTAGCCTGTACGCGGATATTTCGGAAACTTATCCAATCTCTTCTTTCCTCTTACAGGTCCTTTTGCTGTTCACCTATATTCCTTCATACATAATATTACCAGCATTATGTTCTAAATTGCTATTGTTAACACACCAGTACAGCAAAACAACCACCCAAATATGTCTTAATAAATGTACGTTAGTTAAAGCAGGGCGTTTTAGCGTAATTGGAATGGATCTATTCCCTTAATAAGCATTTAATTCGAACAAGCTTCGTGACTAGCAACTCTTTTTATTTAAGCGTAAGCTAATTTTGAGTAATCTTCGTAATCCCTTTTACATTGTTTAAGCTCAGAATTTTAATTAGCGGTGGTATAGATTGAACGACGTTTTTTTTCTTTTAATCACTGTTTAATACCTTTTGAAGTCATATTTTTGGAGTTACAGCGAACTCAATGTTCTATGCTAAAAACTGCGTCCCAATAACCATTTAATTCATACAACGATCGATTTTCTTTTAAATTATCTGGCAAAATAGCCAAACATCTTTTAAAATCCGAGTTGAGAACATAGAATCATCAAAATATTAATGATGAAACACATCTTATCTGATTTTTCTTTCATTCATTGTGGCATTATTTTGTTTAAAATATACTTTCTTCTGTTTTTGAAATTACATCCGAAACGAAAATTTTCAATATTATATATACGAACTAACTAATGTCATTTCTGGCTTCTTTGTCCGTTCATATTCTTATTACTTGTCTGAGCGCCTCTGTTTAGTTTTTTCTTTCCAATATCAATCTCCTTTCTATTTATTACAGTACTAGCATCTTAGTATTATCTTTGGTATATATGTTTTTGCTTTTACATTTAGCATGAAGTTTCTTGTTTTGCTTCCTTATGTGCTATCCTATTTTACGTTTATCGAAATTTGTTGGTCATTCGTTCAACGTTACCCATGTTTGAGAACTTTTCATCTTCATTTGTCCCTTTCTTCGAACATCACTAGGTACTTTCGTTCCATCCTTCATTCTTGTATTGTTTATATACTTTTGCTATATAGAAGAGTTATATTTAGAAACTTACCATTAGCTTTTAGTCTTAACTTTTCTGCTGTACTTGGTTTGCCTTTTGTTTTGTTCACTCACTGAAATATACATGCGAATAAAAAAAATTGTGAAAAAAAAGTTGTAGTCAATCTCTACTTAAATTATATCAGTAGTCTTGTCCTACTTACACCCGGTATTAGGTAATGCTGCACACAACTATAGCTAAATAGAATAGCCTCGAAGTTTACCCTTTGTACTTATAAGCGCATAAGTGAGGGAAATGTACATGTAAACGCGGTAATTCAAAGAATAACAGGTACAGTTGTACATGTAGTTTTTACGACTAGTTTTGTACGTATCGGTCAGTAGTTGTCAATGTATGTTTTCACATGGTACGATTGGACAATGCGGAGAAAGAAGTAATAGAGAGATATGTATTGTTAATCACGATTTACTACCATACGAAGCTAATTATAACAATTATAATGATAGTTCTTTGACAAATTAATTAAATCAGATTGTGCTTGACGGACTCACAATAGGGTTCAGCAGGCGATTACTAAGATATACTGAACACGTTTCGGAATTATAGCTTTATAATATCGATACACAAGTAGTCAGATGACTTGTAGCGAGTGCTTATTTTCAATTTCAATATTTTAAAATGTAACAAACTAGTAATAATAGATAAGTAAGGACGGACGCCGGTGTAGTTGATGTATACTATATTTCCATATCTTTGGTTATTTGATTGGAAAAATACGACCGATTTATGTCGAGCTTTTTATCACTAGTTGATTTAAGTAGACACTTTATAGGTGCATATTTTCGTCAGTGTAGTACTGTGCTACTGGTAGTAACTTAGTGATTTGTGTGTCTGGGTCGGTCGCGTGTGTTTCAAATCATAAGATTAATGCGTCGTTATTTACACTTTTTATTGGAGTTGATAACTTCCTTGAATTTTTTTGTGCTATCAAGTTAGCACGACTTTAAAATCCATTGTTTTAATGATTTAATTTTGAAATTTGGAAAATGGGATTGAGAAAATCTAAACAGCATCATTTAAAACTAAGGCAAAATAGAATGGAACGTTAAAAAGGAAGATTTGAGGAGGAAAATAAAAAAAGAAAAGCGAGCAGTCTGGAGGAAAAAAAAAGAATTAACAAAAATATATAGAGAAATTTGATATGGAGATGGATAAATTCGACGTGTTACTGAAAATATTAGAAGAAATAAAAGAGGAGAACCAGGAAAAATGGAAAGAAAATGAGGAAAGCAAAGAAAAAATTACAAGAAGAAAGAAATATAAGAAAAAGTGGAACAGATATTTGCTAAAACTAAGGAAGAAAACAAAAATATATTTTACTGCAGAGTTGTGACGTTAAGTAGTTACTTAGTAAGTTATAAAGGCGTGTTCAGGTCTTCAAAAGGTTAATTGGTCAACTACTCTGAAACTGCAAGATTAAGTAAAAATCATAATTATGAATAGTGCATGAATTACTACAAATAACGTAATGAACACCACTTAGCTACATTTTGCGTGATTGAAAAAGTTCCATGAGGATATGGACTTCCAAACTGAACCCACGGCGTAGCGACTTCTACATGGTAGACACGTAACCAAACAGAACCACGTTCATATTTCGTCGAAACAGTCAGAATTTGATTTTGACCTTCTTAGGTCCCGTCAAGACGTCGCAGACGTTTCCGATAGAATACACACCAACTATACCTGCCGTTTTTAAACAATATTCTTTGAATTACTATAAATAGCATAATGAGCACCACCTGTAGTATATTACTCCATTTTTTGGGATTCAGGAGTGATCTAGAATGTCCATAACTTGTCAAACTGAGCCTACGGCATAACTAGCCCCACGTGGTAGACACGTTACAAGCAGAACAACAAAGCTCAGATAGTGGTCATTGTTCTGTCGAAACCGTCAAGCTTTCTGAGTCTCGTCAGCATGTCGTAGATAATGTCTAATGGCAGCAGGTACAGTTGAGCTGTATTCTGTCAGAACTAACTGACGTGTTGATGAGACCCCGAGAAGGTCGAAATTGCGATCCACGTCTGACGAGTTCGAAAGAATATTTACTACTAGATGAACTTTTTTCTTGTGAATATTTTACTCAACTATTGGATTGTTTAGAGGGGACATATATTAACAAAAACATTTATTATTTATGAGAAACAGTATTCTGCTATATCATTTTGTACAGTGGTTTGTCTCCTGATAGTCTGTTAAGGAGAATAAGTAATTTCAAAATAATAAACTTCTTCTCTTTCTAATACCTCCTCTTTTCTAACCTTCTCTATCCAAGGTATCCTCATCATTCGTCTGTAACACCACATTTCAAGCGTTTCTAACAAAAATGCTTCGAAAAATTTTTTGCTTAGTTAGTTACAATGTGTATCACTAGGAGCATTCAATGTATCATTGTATATATTTACAGCGAGGATCTGAGAATTCTGAAATTAACTGATTAAGAATTTTTGATGCACACGATACTCAAATCACATTGTTGTATTTACGCTGTATAAGAATACATTTATATGTCGAAGTAAATGTATATGTGGATACGTATATGAGATATTCTCAGCCTTGCATTACCCTGCAAAATCCCTTAGAGGAAAGATGATTCAAGTTCCATTATTTCTGTTGCTGAAATCTTCGAGCGAAACTTTTCTCTATCTATCAAGTTGAAGTTTATTGGATAGAATGGCATTTTTACCCTCGAGAATTTGCACTTGAAATTGTTATGTTATACTCTTTGTGAAAACCTCTTTCGATTAGGGATGTTTTATATTAAATTGACTTTCTTCTCATGAAAGGCGATATTCCTTCGTCATTCACTCAGGGAAGTATCTCATCATATTATAGTGTAGTTGTTCATACAGGAACGAATATACCTGGGTATCTGTAAGAACAGTCGACTCATAAGTGAGTATTTAGTCTTTCATTATTTACAAATAAGGTATAACATAGGTATACTGCGAATACAAGACGAAACAACAACAAATGGAGAATTAATTATCATAAAGTCTTTAGTCCGAAGAATCTTGAGCCATTTTTCATATTTTTCGAAAATTCGATTATTTTTAACTGTTTGCGAATAGCAATTTGGTCTTTGTCTACATTTACACCTCTTAACTCCTGTTTCTGTTTCTAGTAAATCTTTAATAAATTATTTAAGAAAATGGCTTATCACCCTATCTCGCCTATTTCTTTTTAATTTGTATGACATCCTCTGTTCTTTTGAACTTTTTCTAATAACCCTACTCATTCTAATACCTATTCAGCTCTAACATTTTCTCACTGCGGTATTTTTAACATCCTTCTTTAACACCACATTTCAAACGCTTCTAACCTTTTGTTTTCCGTAACGCCCACCGTCCATGTTTTACAATCATGGAGAAACGCACTCCAAGCGCACACTTTTGAAAACCATTTTGGAGCACAAGAGTGATCGCTACTCTTGTGTCAATATCACTTTCGTTTTCGTTTACATCTAAATAATGGGACGATCGTTTGAAAAGGATTGGTAGGTGGTGGACCTTAAACAACCCTAAGAAAGTGGTGAAAATTGAAGGTTATAGGATGGGTTGGCCGGGGGGCGGTTTTAAAAATTTCAAGTATGTTAACTCCATGCAATAGAGAAGAGACGTGTGTTTAAGGAACAAAAATTTTAGAAAGAAGATTACTATAATCGAAAGTCGGTTCTACGGGTGTGTACCTAGAGCGATAAGAACTCCGAAGGTTCATCAATGGAGACTGTAAATATCAATAACTACCACACAATGTTTAAATGACCATTACGATAAAAATGAAATAATAGCAACATTTGTTCATCTCTGATAGTAGGTACTATACTATTTAAATTACATATACATATAGTATTGTAATGTTCGTGGATTTAACAAATTAACTTTTAAGAAGAAAA